ATTGCGCGAGGGGTAGGTTACTCGCGACGGGGTAACGACTGGGAGGGAGCGAAACGTCGAAGGTGTACGATCTGGCAGCTGTCCGCAAGGGGGTCTGCGACCCCCGATTCGCTGGTTTCACGGCGGATAGCAGCTGAGCTACCCCCATGCGGCCGACGCCACTGGCATGTACCGTCGCATACATGCTCTTTGCTTTTTGGCGAATCTTGTGCATGGCACTCGACGTTACCGGTCGCGTATGTCCATCCAGAGAGTTGTGATGGGGGGTATCTTGGCTTCTTCCTCGTGCCACTGTAGGAGTAGGAGTACACTTCCTTCTCATTCTTTCTCTCGCGGCTGGAACAATCGTACGTGTGAAGAAACCACCCCACATGTGGTACCTCAAAAGAATTCACGTAGGGGTGCGATAAAGTCAAACGACAGCTGATCCAGTCCCAAGAATATAAGTCAATAAGTACGTTGGATTCTCTGAGATGCTGTATTGATTTCGGGGAGAGCGAGAGAGATTATTAATGAGAAACGATTGGCGTTTGTGTCTTTCGCGTATCTTTCAGATTTCAAACACACACACACACACACAAAAGTGATGCCCTTATCGATTTATATTTATTACTTCCGAATACACGTATTAGAATACACTCGTGGATTAGCAATCGTTCAGTTTTCAGACAGAGGGTGTAGTTGATTTTAGGGATAAAGAAAAGGGGATTTCTAAAGAAGCGAAGATGAAAATTTCTAATTCTTTTCAGCTTTGTTGAACACAATGGAACCCTTACCTTTTTATAGATATTATTCCATCGAGATGCTGCATTTTTGCAAGAAAAGTGACACAATGAAGTGTATTCTAAATACTTAATAAAAAAAATAATATAAGTTGAATTTAAATACTTTAAAGAAATGACACAAAAAAAATGATACAAATCGAATATAAATTATTTTTAAAGATAATATATCGCTATAATAAAATTAATATCAATTATAATGTATTGGCAAAATTTGCATATGAATAATAATATTAAGCACTAACAATAAGATTCATTTTGATCAACAATATAGGATTATTTCTCTTATTAAAATTATAATATCCATATTACTTTTAGGAGAAACAAGTAATTTGTTTGTGATTAGTCCTAAATTAACTAATAATTAATAAGCAATTAATTTAAAAATACGCAATTTTCTTTTCTGAATACTTTATTTTTTTTACATGTGTCACTTTTCTTGCAGGAGCGTATGACTGTTTTAAATGGCTGTGTTCCAAAATTCACTGAAATTCAGCGCTGAAAATCTACAGTTTACGTCGCGTATACTATACATTTTCTACATTGGCAGCGAATTTTGGAACACAGCCAATATAGTTAGTATTTATGAAAATTAACACATTCCCTATCGGATCGAGTTTACTTGATATTCTTAGTAGTTTCAATATAGCGAGTGTCAGTAATGCGAGTTTTCGAAAAAAAAAATCTGAAAAAATTAATCAAAATTTAATCTTTTTAACATTACGATTTATTTTCTCGATATTCTTAAAGAGTTTTTTAATACATTAAGATTTTTAATTAATAATTAGTTTTTTTAATTATTAACCTAACCTAACCTAATCTATTCTTTATGTATGACGAACAAGTCTCGTGACAAATCCAACAAATACGAATTAAATACTTCAAAGTAAAAGAATTATGATTCTTAAACTCACTTAACACAAATTTTTAATCAATGAGAATATTTTCTTCTTTCTGTTAGTATTTCTAGAATATCTTTTAAAATAAAAAAATATTTTTTTTTCTTAATTTAAGAATATAAATCAATGGTGGGATTTACTTGCATATTTCCTTGGCTTGATCCCTGCCACTTATTCCTGCCGATCGGCATTTAAGCTGCACGCGGATTAGTGAAGTAAGGGGCAGGAACTAAGCTGAAAATTGGTCGAAATGTGCAAGTAAATCCCAGCACTGATATAGATGATTCTTCATGAGCGTAGTGTAGTAGTCTGTGTTTTTCTTTTCTCCCTCTTTCTCCAAAAATTCACATGAGTTGGCGAAATTTTTTGGAAGTATTCTTCATGAAAAAAGCACTTACTTTTATGACAAGATAAATGGAAACTTTGTATTTGAGTTCGGCCACCCGCGGACGGCTGGGCAACTTTAGAAGCTGTATATTTTTTTTACAAACGCCTTTTACATCGAAAAGACGATTTTATATTATGTCTTGGAATATTTGCGTACTTTCGCATTAGGTCTCGTACTTTGTTCAACATGTGGTCCATTAAAATTAATGTGTTCATTGTTTTAATGTACGCAGGATATCAAAAGCTATTCTTTCCTGTATATTTAAATCAATAAAAAAAATTATTTAATTTATCAACAAATAAAAAACGATGAAAAAGGTAGAAAACTAATAGAGTTGAATTTTTAAAACGAATAAGCGTACGCAAAGAGAGGGGAACAGCAGGAGCGACGGTTAGGTCGTCCCATTCCTTAAATTTTGACAAGAAAAAATTAAATTATGAAAATCATTTTTCATGAGAAAAAATTAAACGCTCATTGGCCAATGCGTAGTCCACTCATTATTTCCCTAACGCATCCTGCATAAATATTTTAATAAGCTTTGTGTGAAGATAAATTTTTATCTCCCTTCTTGATTGAAATCTTGGATACAATGTTAAAATAGCAAATTTTCTTTTATAAAAAACTACGATATTTGTAATTGTTTATTTCACTATTTATAGTTTTGTATATTGATTTTATTCTTTTATGTATATTACAATACAAATCTTAAGAATTTTTATTTTATTTTATTTTGATGTACTCTCTATATTTTCTTTTTCCTTTATTTTATATATTATTTTCTTATTTGTTCTTTGTAATTGTTGCAATTATTGCTTCTTATTGTTTCTTTTCTATATATTGTTTTTATATATTGTTTCTTTCATTATATATTATTTTTTTATTTTCTTTGTATTCATTACTGCTCTTTCACTTGTTTTCTTTACCTGTTCTTGGAGGGTTTGCCTTAGAACGTTAATAAACACTATATATATTTATCTCTCTCTCTCTCTCTCTCTCTCTCTCTCTCTCTCCCTTCCTTTCCACACATAATTACATAAACGACACATAATTACGTAAAATACTACAACAGACTCTTGAATTGAAAACGTGCAAAGCCAAGAAGTTCGCCATCGAGAGTCGGCGCCCTTTCGCACGGGAAAAAAGGAACTGTGCGAGAACCACCGGAGAATGAGGGCGAACCGGAGCGATCAGACCAGAATCGAATCCAACGTGTACACGTGTGTGGATAACGTGCATATATGTGCACTTGCGCGCGGAAATTTAACGAAGCACATACATGAGCGCGGCCCCCCACAGTGTACGATCCACGAAAGAAATTATTACAACCCCCACCTTAAGCCCTTAAGGGTCCGGTCTGCGATTGGTCGTATCTGTTCCCCACTCTAGCTCCGTACCCCACTATACAGCATATAAAACATGTGTGCAACGCGGAATTTCGTACAGTTCTTACTGTCCGGCGTTCGGGTTGTTTTGCTGGAGTCTTTGGTCGGTCGAATGTTTATTCGTTTTGTGAAAAAAAACAACAGTACAATAGAGATAAGTGGATATGGATATGCCAACTTTACTTCAGCCTTTCCATACAAGGACAACTGTGAAAAATGTGAACGGAAGGTACGCATGGTGCAGGCAAATCAACCAGTTTTAAGTAATGCAGTGTCGTGAAATTTCGTGAAATGTTTATTTCGATCGATAGTGCTTGTTTTGAAAACCTCTAATATCTCTTATACTTATATAATTAGTGTATAATTAGTTTTTCGGGTGTGTTGATTGGCTCAAAGTATTGATTTTTTAAGAAGTCCCAAGCTTTCCAATCCAGAGAATTGAAGAAAAGTTCTTAACAAGTGAAATATTAATAAATAATGAAACGTTGCTGCATCTTGCAGGAGTTATATCTGTGCACTTAATTCGAAAACGTATTTTCTTTTAATATAGTTTCTTACGTCATATCGGAAAGTGTTTCAGTTAGTGAAATATCAAAGGAAATATTTTGTATAAAAATAAAGATTTTGTAGTTCAACGATAAATAAACCAGTGTTTCAATTAAGTGGCGAAAATATATATAATTAGTGTTTTATTACCGATATTACTGATAATAAAATATTCTAGATATTCCATGAAACATTTCAAAGTGTCGAAAAATATTTCAGAGCATATTACAAGGCGTTTTAGAAAATATAAGGAAGGAAATATTGTAAGAAAGAAGCATATTCAAAAGTATTTAATTAGATGTAGGACGGCGGAATCCATAGACGTTGCAACAAGGTTTTTGATATGGTTTTAAACGAGTGCTTAAGATGTCATAAATCAATCAGAAAGCCGTATTAGTATCTTAAGACATTGTTTGAGATGATCTTGAGATTAAGAACGGACTATGGATACCGGCCTTAGTTTGGGGAACGTGATCTGTGATTTCCCGCTCGAATTACCACGTGGCGAGTTGCGCATGTGCAGTTCAGCAAAATTACCCGCGTAAATCTTCCGTGAAAATTGAAGGAAACATTAAATGATGCTGTGGAATTTTTACGAGTGCAATCGTAACAGAACGATTAGAATTTAAATAATTCCCAAGCAATCTGCCTGAAAAAAGAGGTATCTACTCACTCAAATTTTCGTGTAGAATAAATCTGAAATCCAGTAATGCCCCTTGTAATCAAGGTCGCCCACGACTTGCACAGAGCACTCGCGGAAAATTGAATCAACGACAATTGCATCTCACTACTCGGTAAAAATCAGATCAACGCTTTGTCAGCGAACTCACTGTTCGTATATTATTAACACTTATTTTCCATTCATGGTTTTTTCCTGACAAAGTGTACTTTCTTAGGTTAGGCTGATATTTTAGATCGTATATTAAATTAATTTTATAAATGCAATTTTATTTTATAATGTGACATTCGTACGGTTTAATCGATTCCATTCGTATGCTTGCAGGTTTTTACATCCAAAGGACAAGATTTGTCAAGATTCGAACGATTATGTTAACACATCGAATTCACGTGGATGGCAAGAATCCCTTGCAAAAAATGACTACAATAAGGAGAATTGTGGCGCTGCTAGTAATTTATATAGTCGCACACCTCAAAGAGTAAGTGTATTTAAAAATTCTAAGAAACATTCTTTAACAACAAGATATCCATACACATTTTATCAGACGTCGAATTCTCGTAGAACATTGCAATTTTTTCAATGATTTTTACGAAGTGTACGTAGAATGCTGCCTTGGCAACGTGTTTACTAAGGCTATATTTCAAAAGTTTATGTTGCACTCTGAATCGGTGCAATAAATTGAAGTGAAACAAATGTATATTTATTTCACTTCAACTTATTGCACTGTGTGTGTATCAGTTCAGAAAGTGCAGCAATAAAAAACAGACCTATTGCAATGCTAATACTAAAAATTTATAATGCGCGTAACTATAGATTTTCAGTGCTACTTAGCAGCAAATTTTGAAACATAGACTAAGATGATTCATTTGCATTGGATACAAATAAACATTCTAAAATTAACACAACAGTTCTTAATTTCATTCTCAATAATTTTTTTAATAATAATGGGAACTTCACAGTATTAATAATGAATGAATATTGTACTGCACTGATAATACCTAACAACTTATTAACCTTTTTGTTACGAAGTAAGCCACCACAGCATTGTCACTGTACAACACGTTTACTGCGGAATAAAGTTTAAGTTTGTCATTTTGTCACACTATATACTACAATTTATTGATTCTTATATTTAAGTTATTAACGTATATTTTCAGTATATATATTAAAATATTTTAAATAATATCGACATAAGTTTTTTTATATATTTATAATTACATATCAGTTTGCTACATTTTATTTACATCTATCAGTTGTGCACTCTCAAGTGGCTAGTTCATGCACAAAGATAAGCTGCGAGTACAGTCTGTTTCGTTAAAAAAATCTTTGAGATTTAGTGTATACCTACATTAAGAAAAAACAACGTTACACATTACGTAAATTTGTTTTATAATTTTTTTTCAAACTTAATTTCCATTATTAGGTCATTATTAGTGTCATTATTAGGTATTAACAGAAGGCGTATACAATGCAGCTCGTTGAATTTAAAAGCTTTTTATCTAGAAGTTGTTACACCACGTTTTGTTCTTAGTATTTTAGTTTTTAATTATTTATTACCAAATTTTTGAAGAATTAGTAGCAATAGATCATTCTATAAATACAGTCTAACATAGAATTTATTGTATAGAATTTAATTTATTGTATAGAATTCCTTTTGCAATATTTTCTGCAGGATATAAGATGTATTAATATAAATTTAATGTCACGTAATTGATTTTAAAAGTTACATTAATTGTGAAATCGGCCGACAGATCTTTCAGCGATACCAAAATTTAAAATCCAACTAGGTACTCGGGGGATACCGCGAGATTTCTACACCTTCCATGCATATTCAATTCAATTCCGGATGTTGTAGTACACGCATTCCGGGGTACGTATTACCATTTCCGCGATTAAGGTTGAACGGCAAGTCCAGCTCGCGTGCCGAATATGCATCGCACAGCTGCTGCTTATCACCAGCGAGGTACATTGATTTTAACGTCAACGATTCACGCCGACCGATAGGGCGATAGTGGCATTTCGTTTTACCACGGGAAAAAAAGAAATAAAAGAGGAAGGAAATTATCTTCCCTTCCGTTACTCCGTGCATTGATCTCTGATTTTTTTCATAATACATGTGACACCTTGCGCGTCCGATTGTGATCGCTGTCGATTTGATTGACGGCTACCTTCCGTGTATTTTCCTATTCTCTCTTACTTTCCTTCGGTGATCGCATCTATGACACACTTTCCTTTCTTTTTCCGGCCGCTCTTTAATAATTAATCGATAAAAATCACCGGAAACAGATTCCCTTGTAAGGAATAGTCAACGATTCGATTTTATTTAGTTGTATGGATGTCTGATAAAATGTTGAGGACATTTCTTTCCTTCTTCTCTTTGCTTTTCTCTTTTCCATTATGTATATATTCACCTTCCTGAATTATTCTCAAATCTTTGGACTTAGGAAATTTATTGTAACATGTATTCGTTTCAAAATTTTGTCTCTTTCTTTAAAAATCGTAGCGATTTTATTGTTTATTATCGTATTCTTTTAGGTACACTATAAGAAAGTACGACAACCCTTGGAAACCTACGAGGAGAACAGTCAGGACAGCGGTCATCCATCGAGCCCTACCAACGAAAAGGAGAACAAACGGCGTGAAATCTACGCCGAGAACTGCGCGATGTTGAGGAATGTACCTATGGAATATTCAATGTGTTCATTTGCTTCCGCACATTCTCCAGCACGTGGTCAATACAAGACCACAAGCTCAACTCTCTTGCGTAGCTTGTCGTCAGGATACGATAGTATGGATGATGGGATTGTGAACGAGCTTAACGATATGGAGACCATGGACGAGGAAACACAACTACCGAGCGGCATCGCGAAGCTACTATCCGGCGACATAGTCGCACCCGAGACATCGACTGACTACGACGTCTCGACGACTCCTGATTTCTCCAGAACTATGTCATCTAAAGTCAAAAAGTGGTTGTCGGTACAGAGCGGTATATACAAACGGAATATCAAGACGATGTCGCCGCCGCTGGTAAGGTCGCCGCTGATGAGATCGCCGTTACTTGCGGGGACGCCGTCGACGGTGAGGACGTCGTTGATGACGAAGTCATCGCCGTTGGAAAAGATGCCGCCTTTATCAAAAATCCGCACTTGCCTGTTTCGCTCGCCGACGGCAAGCTGCTCGAAAAGGACAATGATGAGAACATACAGCTACGACGAGGCCACAGCACCTTACTACAGATTACAAATGGAAATCTCACCGCATTCCGCCAGATCTTTCAAACGGCCGTCGGAAGACCTACTAGAGGACGAAGCGTCGATATTAAAAAGATCGCGCAAGTCCAACAATTTGAGTCTCGATACAACACCCGTATCGGCGAAACGCTCAAGTACCTTGACGCACTCACGCTCTCTACAGAGAAGTCTATCAGAAAGGACGGGCCTGACCGAAACACATACAAACATCAAGTGGGCGATCCATCGCAGCATCACTGATTCCGATCTCATCGGTGACTTCAGTAAGCCGTGTATACTGCCGCTCACGAACGGCATCCATGGGGATCTAAAAACAATCACATCCGACACATTGGCAGCGCTCTTACGTGGCGAATTTGCCGACCGTGTTGATTGTTATACAATCATCGATTGCCGATATCCATATGAGTATAAGGCAGGTCACATCGCAGGAGCAGTGAATATCTATAATATGGATCTCATCCAGCAGATCATGCTCGATCATCTGGTCGACACCGTTCCGAAGATCCAGCTCGATACCGATCAACGCAAAATAATCGTATTTCATTGCGAGTTTTCGTGGGAGCGCGGGCCGAATCTCTCGAGGTTTTTACGCAAACTGGATCGCGCGTGTAACAAAGAATTTTATCCGGCACTGCACTATCCGGAGATGTATCTCTTGCTAGGGGGCTACGAGAAATTTTACAGCGAACAGAAGGAGTTTTGCTCGCCGCAGGGTTACAAACCGATGAAGCACCCCAATCACGAAGAGGAATGCCGATTCTTTCGTAGAAAGTGCAAGAGCTGGCAGGCGGAGAAGACCAAAGGGATCAACCAGGCAGTGCGAACAAATCTCGAGCGTTTCGCCTTTTAAACGGATGTTCGTTTCTTTATTTGCATTTAATCTAATTTTTAAGGCTCAGTCTATACTCTCTCTCCCGTCGTACTAGTCGTGAATCGTTAGACGTTGAACGTCCTCAGAGACGGTCGGGATATCAAACACGCGCGCGCCATGCGCGTCGCTAAAGTGCAAAAGCGTAAAGAGATTAGTTTATTATTTTTTTAATTTTCGGTTGCTCTTTGCGCTATATAATTTGACTGACACGAGGAATTTTCTACGAGTGTCTTACACATGATATATGTAAATGTATATGTAAATGTGTCATTCGATCATATTTAGATTCTAATCGATCTTTTAATACTTAAGTATAGTAATTTAGCAGCTTATTACGGGCGAGATCGATTAGAATTTATATCTAGATTGTACTTCCAATAATGACGATTTAGGCTATGGCGATATATCGTTGCGGCTTTTCATACGCATCCCACCGAGATCGAAATTTGTACATAAAAATTACATTATATCGGGTAGAATCATATACTTTGCGTCATTCTGTAATTAAGGACATTCTGTAATCAAACAATGCAATATATCCGCGTGTCGATCCGAGGAATAGCAGGGTAATCAGATGGGCATAATGTCGTGAACGCACGTTGCAAATTTCTTTTTTCATATCGTATAACACCTCAGGTGGTATCTAATTGTATATATAGGACATACGATTGGGGCTTCAACGACTTAATCACATCGATCTCTGTCTTTCTGTCGGTATTGCTTTGCCAAGTTCTCGAAAGCAAACATTTACGGTCGACTTTGAAAATTGCATAAAGTGTTACCAATTCGTTGTTGCAATTTGATGAAAATGTATTATTAATATCACACAAAAGATTAATCCATAAATACTCGCGTGGGATTAACGTGATTTGATTCATGTTTCTTTCGATTGACTTTTTTTAAAGAATGAAAATAGCTAATTTTATGCACACTTTGTTGAAAGAATTTAACTTTTAAGAAGCATAAAAAATTGCTTTTTTTTCCTCAAACTTCTGTTTAAGAAATTGGCGAGATAAAGAGAGAAAATTTTTATACCGCGTAAGTACTTGAGGATTAATCGATAACACAAATTAATTACGTGAAATTTTTCTATTGCGCCAAGCGATGCAAATGCTATGAAATGTGCAAATTTTTTTGTTGTTACATTGTAAAAATTATTTTTACGTTACATAGATAAATATTTACGTCACGCAATGCAAATACGATGAATTTTTTAATTTTTTTCCACTTCTTACCTGCTAATAAGAATTGTACACCTCTTTCATCATATATATCCTTCCTTCTTTTTCTTAATAAGTTCCCTGTTTCCAACCCACTATGAAGGATCACAGTACTACCCAGACAGCACGTAATATTCATAAAATATTTACAAAATATTTATAAATATTTATAAAACTCATTTGAAATATTTTATAAATATTTTTGTGGTCTTAGATTACACAGATCATAAACATTTATTGCATATATTATGAAATATTTATTATAAATGTTGTAGTAAATGCTGTGAAAGTATTTAATAAGACATTAGAATCAAAGTAAAAAATAGTTACTATAAATATTTATTTATATTCATCATAAATATTACATAAAATATTTAGTCTATATATTTTAATAATATTTCAAATAAAGCTTTATATAAAATATGTCTGAAATATTTATATAACATTTAAAAAAATGAATAGTAATAAATATTTATCATAAATATTCTGTGCTGTCTGGGTATGCGATAATTTACGTATATTCCTTTCAAAGAGCAGAGGACACTTTCTAGAAATCACGAATAGTATACCTTTTATATAAAGTTCGTCTTTTCTGACCAGGCTTTAAACCTTTACGTGTTTTTAACTACATCTAACTTATATAATCAAAATAGTAATATCAACTGAGATAACATTGCCCTTTAAACAGATCCACTAGCATTTAGCTTGTAGTTTCACAGATGCAAATCATGTTCTCCATATTTAATGCAGAGGTGGAATCGAACTCGGATCTTCAGATCGCGAATCGATCAAGGTATATAACCATTCGTGTGCCACCCATATATTCCCTCGTAACACTTTTCTAAATTAAAAATTTCTTAATTTAAATATTGTCATTTTGTCTTTGATGTAAAGCAGAGAGAAATCAGAGAGGACATGAGGATCTTTTTCCTGTAACCGCAAACTGCTCCCGCGCATTACTGCCTTCTGAAAAAGTGGATGTTTGAATATTCAAACAAGTTAATTTAGCGAATTTTGTTTTATAATACTCGTCTGCAAAAATGGAATTACAAAGTGACGTTTTTTCATGTAAATTTTCAGTCCGTTTTTACCAAATATAATTACTAGTATGTAAATATATTCCAAGTCTCTATAATCACTAATCACTAGTAATTATATATAAATATACGGTCAAAAAATATAAATATATTGTTTAAATTTAAATGTAAAAACTTTTTAAATAGCAACACAAATGTTTCAAAAAATGTATAAAATTTTCTACAGTATCACTATATGCATTAAAAGTATTGGGTATGGGAATAAGTTTCCGCCCTTTTTAAATGAAAAAGATGTATTTATTTAAACAAAACAATATAAAGTAAGTTCATTCAAAGTATGCTCCATCAAAAGCGACAACTTTCCTCCACCTTTCAGGTAATAAACAGATTCCTCGAAGGAAGAAATCTGGTTCTTTTGAAGCGATCCATTTATCAAGCCATTTTTTGATATCTTCATAAGAATTGAATCGCTCTCCAAAAAGGGCCGACAGCATGGACCGGAACAAATGGAAATCTGAAGGAGCAATGTCCGGTGAATACGACGGGTGGGGCAGAATTTCCCACTCCTTCCAAGTATTTCTTGACCGGTTTTGCAACGTGTGACATAGCGTTATCACGTAGGAGAATCAGCTTATCATGCCTATTGTCCCATTCCTATTTTTGTTTCAAAGCTTAGTTCAAACAAATCGCTTCGAACGAATATCAACTACTGGGCTCAAAAGCTTGAACACACACCTTTCAAATACATGTATTGCCGTTTTATCAAACACACAAGCAGTGCTACTAATGACATATCTCTAAAGGACGGAAATTTGTTCCCATACCTAATATAATATGCTATTAACAGTTTGAGCAGAATATATCAAACATATTCGGATAAATTGGTTAAATGTATCCATCGACGTTAAGTTGATATTCCACCGAAAAGAAAACCGATTAAGTTTACGTTGACTAATATAGAATGTGTACATTAAAAGAAACCGTTTAAATAACATTTCGCATTTGTTATGTATGTTGTTGTCGATGATATTAGTCTGTTGTGACTTTTCGAAAGAAAAAGGTAGCAGCCATCAGAAACGTTTTACCACAATCTATATTTCATTTTGTTACGATTGTTGAACATATCAATTAACAGTCAGAATTATATTTTAATAATACGATTTTGTTACACAGGGTAAGTTTCTAAAAATATGATATTATATTTATAACATGCACAGTCGATTTTTTTTTAAATAATAGAGATGTGAAAACGTTATTTGACTTTTGACTAAACGTTACCTGTTTAAGCATATATACGTAAAGATTGAATTAAACGATAGCTTCAAATAATGTTCTTCAAACATTTTCAAAGGTTTTATTTATTTAAAGCAGTAAAATATATTTATATATATATTTTAATACTGTTTTGTAAGTTACTTTATAAAAATAATATGCTACAAAGTGTAACTTTAGCTGTTTGTAAAATATTCATATTTATTTTGACTTAAAATTAACTTGCCTTAAAAAAATGTTAGACTTCAAAGTAAAATTTTTTGTAGTAATTCGTAAGACATTCATAAGACTTTAAAATATCAATAAAAAGTAATGCACATGTTCAATAAAAAATGTTTGTTATTAAAAACATTTTAGGATTTATCGTTGGTATATCAATATTTTTAACATAAACACAGCAGTGCTAGAAATATTACTAAAATTAATAGCGTTTTTCATTGGCAGAACTAGTGCGCACTTAGTGCATTTTAAAGCCGTTGTACAAAAATCGACGTAAACATATACGTTTAATAAAAATATAAACAAATTAAACCGTGAAATATTACATACATTTTATTGTGCTATTTGATAAAATAAATTTTGAGCATTTTATCAATTGAGATATCTCACTTTTATATTTTTTTAGAGCAGTGTATAGCAGCTTTAATGTGCACTGAATGCGCACTAGTTTTGCCAACGAAAAACGCTATAGAAAAATGTTTAGTGTTGCATTAATATAATTATAATTACAATGATATAACGATTTCAATAACCACCATATGTGCATTGCTTTTTTATTGGTGATCATTAATATTCTATAATTTTTTTAAAACTGTCTGGAAAATATTTAGAACGGCAACCGGGACAACATGAACATAGCACATATAAGTAGAACCGTAATATTTATCATAGCAATAATTACTCTAAATGGTATAGAAGTAAACAATTTTAGCGTTCCAAACGAAGGACGTTTACCTCATTACGTGACACCCGTGCACTATCATATAGAGCTTGACTACATAGTCTTAAATTATCAATTTACCGGTAGCAATGCTTTCATTTGGGACACGATAGTCAATTCAGATCATCCTAATGGATCATTTGTTTTTCATGGAAAAACCAGTACAACCATCAATATTCTTGAATCGACTCATTATATAAGATTGCATCAATTAAATCTGATAATAAGTCAAAATATAACTTTGACTTCAGATAGCGGTAAAATTTATGTATTGAATAAATACAGATATAGCTATGGCACGAATATTTTAGAACTTGTTTCATCTTGTATGTTATCTCCCGGGCTCTACACATTCAAAATAGAATTCTTCGGTCATCTTATGGAAAACCATAAAAGTATCTACAAAAATTTCTACACGAGAAAACGCACAGTGTCAGTAAATATTAAATAGTTGAAATTATACATATATGCATTATATGCACTATAATATAATTATTCCTCAAATTTCTTTAAAATTCATTCCCTTATAGCAATTTTTGATGTTGTTATATAAATTAAACCAAATGGTAAAAAGTATATTATTATTTAATGTTATTTAAAGCAAATATAACTATTATTAAATTGTTGTAGATTGTTGCTCGCTCCATACATCCAAGCGAATGGAATCAGACAATTGTTCCCTTGTTGGGATGAACCGCACCTAAAAGCCACGTTTAGTATTTCAATAAAACATCCAGGCAATCATACAGCTTTA